TCAGCCTGCAGACCCCAGGCCAGCCAAGGTGGGTGCCATTGGGGGCACCCGATTGCCTTGCTGGTCGCCCACAGATTGGCCCCGAGTGCTGGCCAGGCCTAGGGACCCTACCCATGCACGAATTTATGCATCGGGCCCTCTAGTGTAAATAATGCTGTGGTGAACACGGGGGTGCAGATATCTCTTCAAGAATGATTTTATTTCCTTCACATATGTACCCAGAAGTAAGATTGCTGTGTCATATAGTAATTCTATTTTTTTCCCTTTAATAATGTTCCCATTTATTTTTTAAAGTCTCATCTTATTTTTTTTAGTTTATCTTTATTGTTTAAAGTATTACAGATGTCCCCTTTGTTTTTGCATTGACCTCCACCCCCCCACCCTCCCCCCCACACACACACTCTCAACCCCTCCAGGCCTTCACCACACTATTGTCTGTGTCCATGGCTTATGCATATAAGTTCTTTGGTTAATCTCTTCCCCCTCCACCCCCACCTACCCACCCACCCTCACCTTCCCTCTGAGACTCGACAGTCTGTTCCATGCTTCTATGTCTCTGGATGTATTTTGTGCATCAGTTTATTTTGTTCATTAGATTCCACATTTTAGCGAGATCATGTGATACATGTCTTTCTCTGACTGGCTTATTTCACTTAGCATAATACTCTCTAGGTCCCTTCATGTAGTTTTATTTTTAATTTTTGAGAATCCTTCATAATAACTGTACCTATTTACATTCCCACCAACATTGAACAAGATTCCTTTTTCTCCACACCCTTACCAATATTTGTTATCTCCTGTCTTTTTTATGATAGCCATTCCTACAAGTGTGAGGTGATATCTCATCATGGTTTATATTTGCATTTCCATGATGATTAGTGATGTTGAGCACCTTTTCCTGTACCTGTTGGCATTTGTATGTCTCCTTTGGAAAAACGTCTCATCAGTTTCTCAGCCTATTTTTAAATTGGATTATTTGGTTTTTGCTATTGGGTTGTATGAGTTCATTATATATTTTGAATATTTGCTGCTTATCAGATACATTTTTTGCAAATATTTTTTTTGCATTCCGTATGTTGCCTCTTCATTCTTTTAATGGCTTCCCTTGCTGTATGGAAACTTTTTAATCTGATATAGCCCTGCTTGTTTATTTTGCTTACTTGTGCTTTTGGTGTTACATCCAAAATATCATTGCCAAGACTGATTTTTTTCCCTATGTTTTCTTTGGGAGTTTTACAGTTTCAGGTTTTACACTGGAATCTTTAATTCCTTTCAAGTCAATTTTTGTGAGTGGTTTAAGATAGGTTTCAAATATAATTATTTTGCGTGCGGATATCCTGTTTTCCCAGTACCAGTTATTGAGAAGACTAACTTTTCTCCATTGAGTATTCTTGGCTCCCTTTTCAAATATTATTTGGCCATGTATGCGAGGGTTTATTTCTGAGCTCTCAGTTCTATCTCATTGGTCTATATGTCTGAATTTTTGAGAATTTTCCTTTTGTGGCTTAACATATGGCTGACTCTAGAAAATGTTTTATGTGTGCTTAAGAATGTTTATTCTATTGCTGGTGGATAGGATGTTCTGTAAGTAGATTTCTGTTAGATCTATTTGCTCTATAGCAGTGATTTTTAACCAGTGTGCCATGGCTGGGCACTGACTATTTAGTCAAGGGTACTAACCTCTTTTCCCTTAAATTATCAGACAAAGAATGACAACAACCAACACAATGATAGCAATTTGGTGTGAATGGGTCAAAATTATACCTTTTTTGTGTCAGATCAGCAAAAAATATATTTTTTGGTGTACCGCAGAATTTTAGAAATTAGCTTATGTGTGCCAGGAGATGAAAAAGGTTGAAAATCTCTGGTCTATAGTGTTGTTCAAATCTGCTATTTCCTATTGATTCTCTGTCCGGATGATTTATCTATTGTTGGTAGTGGGGTATTAAAGTTCCTAACTATTATTGTATTGCTGTTTATTTCTCCTTTTCGTTCTGTTAGTATTTGCTTTATATATTTATGTGTTCCAGTATGGGTGCATAAATATTTATGATTGTTATATCTTCTTGATGAATTTACCCCTCTGTTACTATATAATGACCTTTTTTGTCTCCTATAAGCATTTATAGCTTAAAGTCTATATGGTAGATATTAATATTCCTGTCTTTACAACTAGGGAAACAGACACAAAGGGGGAAAGTGATATGTCTAAGAACATGCAACCACTGAGTAGCGCAGTGCTCTGAGCTAATGCGGGGATTGATAGCTGATTTATCTTAGTAAAGCCACTGATTTCGGAGAGATCAGATTAACAGGAAGATGGCTGTTCTAAAAATCAGGAAAATAGACTGTCCTTACAAAAAAAAATGGGGCTTATTCATATTTATTTAAACAGCAAATCATTGTTATGGAAAATGAAATATGGTATTATATTAATAATTATTATTAATATTATATTAATAATATATGTGATATCCAGGCCCTATTATTGTAAGCAGGTAGTAAACTAACTAAGCATATAGAAATTAGGATCTGATCCTTTAAATAACTAGCTCTGAGGTTGATCTCTGATATTCTACCTTACTCATTTATTCTTTTTTGTTAAGTAAACTCTAGGAATTCATTCATCCTCTTCCTCCACC